ACGGTTAATAGTGCAGATCTCATGTTCGTTGAATTGCCTGATTTTTCGATAAACTTTAAAAAAATAATTAAAATTTTCGGCGTCTTCCTACAACATTGTGAAGATATATTTTTTTTCTTAATGGCAAGTGTTCATCAAATATATATCTTCAAATAATTACATGTTGAATATTTAGAAACTATCAATATTTTTTGTGAAATTTGGCGGCAAACATAGTCGCTCGCTCCGAATTCACTGCGCTTCGTCAACGTAATTCCAGGCAGATGGATGCTTTCTAGGTTAGAATTTGTATATTTCATATCTTTTGTTCTTTCTGTCGAGCTTTCGTTACACATTACTTAAAACCTATATGAAATAAATGAAATAAAATTTGCTAACCTTGAAGGAATATCAGATTAGAATGCAAAAATGGCTTGGCAATAATGACTCGGGAGCTTATTTCAGTGAATTACGTCTTATTGTTAGTATACGATAGGCTACTCTATGAAAGCAGTTATAATTTTCAAATTTGTATTGATATTTGCTTGAAAATATTTAGTTTTTGCACCAAACGTTCTACGATTTGTAATGAATTTTACAAAAAATTACGACTGAGATGTGTTAATTCGGAGAGAAATTGTGGTACAAATAGTATTACATAACTATTACTAAAGGCGAGAAAGTATGTGCCGTTTAGGCAACTCTAGTTTTTCTTTCCGCCTTAATCTATATAAAGCCAGCCGAGTCAATTTACACATATTTCGCTGCAATATTTTATCTTTGGTCTTTTCATGCTCCCGTCTTCAGATGTTCGAATCCAGAGTAGTGGTGGCCATGGCCCATCCAGTTTGCCGTCGTGACTTGTCCCTCGACGTTGATAAGGGAACAATGATTTTGGCCATTTTTACTTTCCCCCTAAGGAGTAAAAAGTTATGTAACACTGCTCCAAAAACCGGCGAATTTTCGGCAGAAAAACTCTTATTACAGAGTCCTCGTAACGAAAATGTGGATAAATCCAGTTGCTAAATTTAGAAAACAAATCCCCTATCACGTGGTGCAGCCAGAATTCGTGTTTTGTGGGTGATACCGAAAAATCCAATGACGGCAAAAGTCGGTCTGTTCATCCGTCTAGCGGCTAAACCGTTCAATCAATTTTCTCCGAAATTAATATTTCCCAATCGTTCTTGCTAATACCATGGCCCCTTGAATTTGAAACCAATATTTTAATTTTGAGGAGCCCCTGGGACATTTTCCACATTTTCAAAAAAAGGGCTCTATCTCATTTGATTAAACTTTCTTGTTGGATAGTGTTAAGGAAGTTTAAGAGAATGGTGCAAGTCTCATTTTGGTTGAAAGTAATAAATGTTCGAAAATTATAAAAGTTCAAAATTGTTTTGGAGTATTCCTACAACTAGTAAAATATTAAAGATACAGATTTTTCCCATAATGAAACATTTTTCTTAAAGATATTTTTTAAAAGAAGGGTATGTACAGTTTTTTTGAAAATTTGAGTACTATTCGCGTAATTTCGCGTGAAAATACGGAGGAGAAAGTACATGATTTTAGCACCACTAGATACTTTATCGTATGCATAGTATACAGAATCTTATGTAATGTTACGGCAAAAGATTAGTTGTTGTTTTGTTTTGATTTGTAAAGATCATTTTTCTTGCTCTTATATTACACTATGTAATAAATTTCTTTCTCTAGTACGTTGCGAAGTCAGAATCCACGTTTTGTTTCCTTATTACGGATACAGTATTTCATGCAATTAGTTTATATTGTTAATCTTTATTGCATGAGCATGTGTTTTGAAAAAAGCGAGACGTTAAGAGCGAGTTTTCAAATTCGTACCAATGCAATAAAGCAATTTGACATCCGTGCCAGAAAACGGTGGTCAGCTGGTCCATTTACCTTTACTTCCCAACCTCTCGCTGAAATTGGCTGAACGTGTGATGACGCAATCATTCGTGCCGTAAAATGCTTATAACAAAATGCTTAAAATGCTTGATTATGAACGATTTCCTGCAAAAGAAAAGGTAGTGTATAATGCTGGAATACAAAAAAGTGTTGTTCTTTTTTTTTTCAAAAATGCCGTCCTTTTATCGTCTGTAACAACGCTAGCGCCTAAACAATTCCTAGGATTTCTGCCAAACGCAATAATCCTCAATCGATCTGATGCAACTGATATGTTCCATAATATCTTGGCCTAACAAGTAATTGTGCGCTATCTGTTGGTTTTAATGGAGAAACTGTCTCTCACATCCTGAACTCCATCCTCCATACAACCGAGATGGGTCTATGCAATGTTCGGGTTGTGCGAAGGTGCCCATTGCAGGTATCAGCTGTTGACGGTTTTATCCAATCGGGAGCTTCTCCCGATTGGATGTAACTGTCAACAGCTGATACCTGCCAGGGGCAGAGTTGCGAAAATCGCAGTATAAAAATGCAGTTTTCTACCGCATGAAATAACAAACCGTGTATATTAGTCAGAATTATTACAATCGGATGATATTTCTTTACGATCCCCCTCATACCGGGGCAGTAACTAACGTCACTGCAATGCCTCTGACCGGAGGTTCTAGGTTCGAGTCACGACGGTGGCAGGATTACCGACATTAGCTAGATAGATAGGTCGAATTCAGCCGCTATCTGGAGGACAATTCTAGCACGCCGGTTGCCCTGAACGGAAGTTTACCGTGGTTTCTTCGACCAAGCGAATGCCGGAGCAGTACCCTGCCAAACAGGCCACAGACCAAGCGCAATCTTTCCTTCCTCGTCCTATCCTCTTCCCTGACTAACACCATCATGCAGTACACTACCACACATGCCGGGAGACCGGTCCAACCGGGATTTTAGAGCTTGTCCCGGTTGGGGCGGTGCCCCGCTGGTGATACCTGGCTGGAGTGATGTTCCGCTAGCCAACAGAATCACTAACAATCAATCCCCCTCATTAAACCAATAGTATTTTTTTATTGAATTTTCTCATTTCATTGAAATATGATTGTTAAAAACAAGAAATAATACACATACATACAGACATTTTTCAACAGTTTGTTTCCTTACACTGTTGTGGCCAGCTCATCCTTGTAATTTAGGGGTGAGAGACAGTACCATCATCCCTTCCCAATATCCAAAGCTTCTCTGATATTCCAAGCTTCCTAATCATGTAAAATGTTTTAAATGTATTGTTTATTGTTCCACAACAAGTTGTTTCAAAACTTTCTCATTACTAACAAATAATTACAAATAAGTGGATGTGTGTTACCAAAAAGAAATGTTTCAATATGCATCCACTTTCCAAAACGATAATTCCTACAGTGATGATCTTCAGAACTGCCATATCCAATAAGCATACACCGCATTTTGGGAGTGAGCCAGCACTGCTGCAAAGGCAACTTCTTGGGGTCTTGTATCAAGTTCATCACCTTTGACTTCATAAATGAGAAGTGCTTTTACAGGACAACACTGCACTCATGTTTGTTTGTTTTTTATCTCCGAAACTCATGTTCAAGAAAAAATTGTGAATAAACAGATGATTTCAAAACAAGACTTCATGAGTTCGGCATTTTATACACGGAGCATTGACAGTTTTACTTAAATGACTGTCTCATACAGGGGATAAGGCTCCTATCACAGTATGCGAGATAACTTCTATCTATACCTCCACTACTCAGTCCTCAGACCTCAACCCTAGAGTGTGAGTGTCTGCACAATAAATGTATAAATAATCATAATCATAATAATAATAATAATAGTACAATCAATGCAAAGTGAAAAAATAATTGCACTTTGCATTTATTAAATTCAATACATTTGTGTCTCCTCTCCCTAATATTAACCCCAATTTCTACTCGTGATACAGCACATTTAGTAACAATTTCAAAAATAATTTTGCATGAACATATATTAATGTATCAATGTCACTACACAAAGTTTGGTCGTTAAAAGGCATTTTCTCCAAGTGAGCCAGAGGAAAGGGAAGTGAGAATACTTTACTTTACCTAATCAGTAAGCAAGAATTAGGAGTGTAGTTATTGGAGACTGCATTTATGCAAATCTAATAACATTAGCAGTCAACAAGAAAGAAGTTTCTCCCAAGAAATTAATTTACAATGAAGATAAGAGTATTAACCTTTTAAATTATTTCTTATAATAATTATAACACTACTCAGTTGACTGACGTAAAAGAAAGTTGTTGCACTAGAGCTTTCTTCATTGTTTCTACTGCAGAGAAAAGAAAATATTTTCTCAACAAAAGTCACACGAAAACCAGTAAATTACTTATTAAAAAGACATCTGATTGCATTATAAAGCTGTCTCATTATCCTTACATGCATTAGCCAATTAAATATTTTTGACTTCTGCCAGTTTATAATTGTCACGAATAATTGATTTTTTGCAGTATGCAACGTTTGCAGTGCACATGATACTTTGTAATAAATGCTATATTATAACACCAACTGATTGGGCAAATGCAGTTATATTAACATACATATTTATACCACTTTTATTAATTAAAACCCCAAAATTATGCCAAAATTGCATTCAAAGAAATTAATTGGTAAGTAAGCTGTCTTAGAATAAACACTTCCAAGATTCTAACTTCAAATAATAAAGAGCCTCTTAAGAAACTTGCCAATTTAAGTTCAGAACTCGCATATTTGTAGGTGTCATGAAATTGCAACTGTCAATGAAATGCACTGCAGCTGCTCTTGTTTTTTCTCATGCTCACTTTCACGCATAGAATACAGCAAGATAAATAACTACTCTTAAAAAATGGTTTAAGTGAAAGAAAAAAAAAACCTATTCTACTTTACAAGAAATTCAATTATATCAGAATTTTTTATCGTCTTTGCCTTCACCCTTCACATTTGTTTCATTGCATGATTGCACAACATCGTGTAACATATTCACTTAAATAATCGTAGTTCATCATATCAGACAAATGCTTTCTTACAAAAGAATACTGGTCCCCCCATGGAATGAGGAATGAGGAATGAAAAAAACACCAACACAGAACTTCCAGAAAAAAGTATATTTTCTTGACAAGAAATGATTTACAAATGAACTATGCAACATCTAGCACACCCACATACAAAGCATTCATTCAATTTTCATACATTCACGAATCATACGTTACAACATATGTTTCTTCCAGTGTTTACAAATTCGCCATAATGTAAGTTAGGGCAGCTAAGGAAACAGGTTATAACAGAACTTCTGGTTTCAATCAATTATTGTTACACGATTCCAAAAACTTCACAATTCCATTAGTGAACTGGAACAGAATTCTTGAGATTTTGTTTGCCTTATGTATCGTTCATACTAACAGCAACAGCTGGGCTTCAGGGCCCAAATAATCTAAAAATCACATGAACAAATATATTATGTTCTAATATTTGCAATGGTAAAGAGGGAAAAGGATAGTTCTTGTTTTTTTTATTCTGAAGACTATTCTAATGCTTTATATCTTATATAACAATATGTAGATTACGATGTCTGAATGAGTCATGTGCACAGAAAAAATCTTTCCAGTAACCCTTTGCTTAAAAAAACACTTTGGCTCTTACTAAGAATTCTTCTTGCAATATAAACACCACAGTAAATACCAATGGCACTAGAATTGCTCAGGTCATTTGTCACTTCCAGTTTTTTATGATGACAGCGATGTAAAATGATGACAGATGATAATGATGAAACTGTTAAAGGGCATGAAAATACATGCACATTTGTCCTGCAGAGAAAAAGGGATTGGGATCAGGGTCAGGGATTGTTTTGCAGCATTCAAGCTAAGATAAACTGCAAAAGGCAGTAATACTTCTCCTAATAATTTGTCAGATAAAAATTATACATAGTCCACAATAAATTACTTGCTTACAAATTAATCAAATTCCTTGGGAAAATTTACATATATGTTAAATTACTCTCAACACAGCAATTAACGTACATGCTGCCAGTTGAAAAGCAAAAAAACAAAAACCAACTAATAATTTACATTCCCCTTGAATACTGCTTCATATATTTTCTCAAAGAAACACTTTTCACCTTCCAAAATATATACACGCTTTGGCAGCTTTGAAAGCACTGGGAATATTAGTTCACATGTACACACACAATAACAAAAAGAAAAGAAAAAAAAAATCACTAAGGCATTCACAAATTTACAGCTACTGCACTTGCTACCCAAAGTTGCCATCTACAGTCTTTCTCCTCACTCTAGACATGACAATCCTGTATGCATTACCACCTTTGATAACCATGCAGCAAATTCGGGACTAAGAAATATGACACTGTTCAGGACATAAGGCAACTCATAAAATATATCTTTCAGATTATTAATATACATGTATACATGCAGCATAAATCAGAAATTAATATCTTCACAGTAGGCAAACTGCCCACAAATTAGAAATCCAAGATATAACCTTTGGCTATCACAACTATATAAGATTTATACAAATTTTTCAGAGTTTAAGAAATGAGAACACATTTACATTTGGAGTAGTTTGCCTACTAATAAAGACAATTTCAGATTCAGCACATGTGCATTACTTTCCAAAGAATACTTTCAAAACAGTAAAATGACAAACAGACTACCATGGCCAAGTAGTAAAGATAGCCAATATTATCAGAACTGGTACAATCACGATTTAACTATACAAGTTTATTTAACCAGGAATGTGTATTTTATGTCAATATAGGTTGCACAACATTAATTGACTTATAAAAACTGCAATTGCATTGCAACATGTCCCACAACATTCACTGCCAGTACCTTTAAAGCTATGCAGCTACAGGACAAGAGGAATAAGTATAAAATAAATACTTCCTTTAAGATGTCTTTGAGAAAATACCTGTTCTGGATTTGTTTTCTTAAAAAAAGCTAAGTCTACATATGGACTGGTGTCTTTGTCGGAGAGTGGTACTCAGGATGAATTGGAGAGGAAAGAGGTCCAGGGGAACTGATTGGAGTTTTCACATTGCAAAAGTAAGAAAAACCCGCGTCACTGCTGCTTAGTTTGAATGGGTAAGTTCCTTCTCGGGTTACATAAAGGGTTGAGTTTCTCATTGAAGCTCACAGATTCAATGTCACTCAAAGAGTCCAGTTTTAAAAAATAATATAAAAAATTTTCAATTGCACAAAGTCAAAGCATTCTGATCTCCTTTATTTGAAGTCTATAAGCAAAGAGCATTCCCCCTGCAGGAACCCAACACAACAGAACCCTACTTGAACAGAATACTTGAACAGCAGTTGTTAGGGAGGCCGACGCAGGAGGAAGCCTTTCTTTCGACTCAACACATTCAAAATCTGAAGCTGCAGACAACAAAGTTAATCACGAAGCTCGTACAACCAATGTCTTCATATTTCACTTCATATACAAATTCCTTAAAGAATCCAAAGAACTGACTTTCTAGCAAACAAAATGCTACTGGACAAAGTCGAGCAATGGTCGTGACTTATCTTTCCTTCTCTTTCATATATTTCATGTTTTTTAACACATGACAGGTTCCATCAAATTAAAAAAAAATTCATGGTGTTTTAATGTTAAGCTGGTTACACCAGGTTGTACTCCTTGAGATTTGATTGCAGAATTGTATCCTTCACTGCAGCAAACACAAAACGTATGTTCTCAGTATCTGAAAATAAAAATTAAGTGTGATCAGGTTATGAAATTCTTACACAGAATAAAACTCATAAGTCATTTTAAATAACCAGATTTGAAATAAATAGGGGGGAAATACACAGGAGATGGTTCTATGAATGAGAGCACAAAATTGCTTCACTTATTAAATATAAATATCATTAATTGTGTTAGCATTATATACTAGATTAATATTATTAATAATAGATGAAGAAATTTCTATTCTTTGTCCATTTTTTTAAAGCTAAAATTTTGAAAATTTTCATCCATTGAAGAGGAACTTCTTTAAATCAGATTAAATACAATATTTGAAAACATTTCAAATATACTTGAAGATCATGTTGTAGAGCAAGAAAGAATACTCCATAAAACAAAATTAAACAGTTTATGAAACCATAATTCTAGATCACATGCTACAATAGAATCACAAATATTCACATGCAAGTGAAACAGATCTATTTAATTTACAATCAATGAATTGCAATAAACCACGAGTTCAGAATGAGATGCAACTCAGTAAATCAAGAAAATTACGCCAACTCCAACTTTATGAAAGTTAGAATGTAGCACTAACCAAAAGAAGAAGAGGAAGGGTACAGATTCCCCCAAAGCCAAAATTTGTTTTAACTGATTCAAAAAATAGCCATTTACAGAAATCACATCCAAAACAGAATTCCCAATATCAATAAATACATACAGAAGTTTATTTTAATGCATGCTAACAATAAAAAAAATATTACTTTCAATGCATTTGGAAGGATGAGTACAATCTGAAATTAGTCCCTTGCCCCAGAAATATTTTCTGGATTTGCCTTTGGTAGAAATCAATTCTTTAACTACTAAAATAATTATTTTTATGAATGTGACAAGATCTCTTACATATTTTTAACACGAATATGCTGCTCTTAAAACTCTTACTACTTAGATCAACACAGAAAAACAAAGGGGAAAAGAGCTGAAAAACAGATTCTAGGAAAATAATGAAAGAGGGACTTAAAAAAACCATTAAACATCCAAGCTTATGGGAAACAATACATTTATTTAAAAAAATATTTAAATATTGTGTTCCTTTTAGTATCTTCTACGTACTAGGGCAACCTGAAATATGAATAGTTCATAGGGTCGTACTCAAAGTCGCATACAGCTGCAATAACACTAAGCAACATGCAATAGATGTGAACTCCAGGTGAATCAATGTTTTATGAATATGATTGTTGGGATGTAGAAACACTGTGTCACCGATTTGCACATTTTAAATAGATATGATTTTTTAATTTAAATAATTTTTTTATACACAATACTATTTAGTTGATATAAGTAATTAGTAAACAAGAATTTTTGTGTATAAAGAATTTTAAAGAAATAAGTATGAACTATTGTTTTAAAGACAAACTACAGCAAAGAATGTTTGATTATAAGAGTAACACTAGACTTAGCTCTCAAGGGGCCCGATAGTTACTAGAATCTGTTTCTTCTAAATTTTCCCGTTCATTTCTAAATTTCTGAGACTTCAAGCATCTTAATAGCTGAATGCGACTGTCATTGGTGCCTCACAGTGAAATGAACATCATCATTCTGAATAACGATTCTGATCTCAAAAAGAATGTTCCTACTCTTTTGCAATTCTTAATTGTCTCCAGCTCTTCTACATCACAACCTTTTTTTCCTTTCTCACACGTGTGAAAAACCGATAAGGCGGAAACACCGGATACACCAAAAACCTAGTACACGTGAAAACAGAAACGAATTTTTAATATGACAGAATTCAAAATTCGAGGTAAGATTAAAGACAAATACTGCTTTAAAACAAAACATTGACTTGGAAGTGTGTCCACATCCTGCCACGAGACCTTCAGAGCTGTGCTTGTCCATTCTGTTTCTTAGCTACCCATACAAAGATTGTATTTCCAATGCTACTCTTAAAAAGGCAATGTTTATTTGTAATGGAACTGACCTTCACAAGCCTATGTAAAGGAAAGAGATGTGAAGATCCTTCCACAGTTCTTGTAATGCATGTTGTGGGATCAGTGGTTCTAAACATTCACTGTTGTTCAGTTTGACAAGTTGCAGGTATTATGATAATCAAGTGTATGATGACGGGCAGCAAATTGAAAATGTTAACTCTTGGTGAAAAAATTAGAATAATGGAAGAACATTAACAAATCAACACATCTGTCAAGATTTTTATGAAGAAATTTAAGCTAAGAAAACGCAAGTGTATGACACCTTAAAAACCAAGACATCAAGAATGAGTGGTTAAAAGAAGTATTTTATAAGTGGATGCCACAATATTCATGAGGACTTACGAGAGTAACTGAAACCTAAATCATCAGATGAATTCATCTGTTGCCATGCATATTGAAGAAAATAATACTTCTTTAACTTTTTATGGAGTTCTTTGTTTCATTAGACTTCGTAATGCGTTTCTGTATGTCATTCTTTGTCTCTCGTGGTAAGTTTCCATTTCTTTGAAACGTAGTTCTCAGGTAAGAATCTAACAACCTATTCCATCTTTGAACAATGTATTTTCTGAATTTACAGATTTTATTGCAGTCCTGCAACCCTTACAGGTAATCTGTAACAATTTGCATCTTTGCAACACAGATTATTGGTAAAGTTTTTTGTTTGTTTTTTTAATGAGAACACGAATGTGGTAATGAAAGACTTTTCACTAACTATGAGAGTTAAAATGTGTACCAATGAATGCTGTCAGAATCAAAAACTGTTGAAACAGCTGTAGTTATTATGCATTACACGGCTTATTCCACTCATGAAATTTCAGCCAATAATGTGCAATCATACAAACCAATACAAGATGACATATACAAATTAATAACTTTTTCATTACACCTCCACAGAAATGGTAATACTGCTGTTCTTAATAATTCTAAAGAACTAGCATGATCGATTATTGAGGGTTTCCAGACTTGTCAACTGACAAAGTCATTAACCCCATAAGTGTAGTGCTTGCTTTCATCAAAGGAGGTGGTTGTGTTCTTCCTCTACTACATGATGAGATCTGGTGCTAACTACGTCTCTATCCTCCGAGGCACAACCAAGAGGGCAAGCTTTATGTTCCCAACTGACATGTGTGGTAGTGTAGTGCATGTAAGTGTATATGTGAGTAAGGGAAGGATAAGACCACGAACAGAGGAAAGATCGTGTGCAATTCGTGGCCAGTTTGTTAAGGATACCAGCATTAGCCTGGGTTGATTAGTGACACCTTTGGAAAATACCAATCAGAGCAGCTAGGCACTAGAATTCTCCTCCAGACAGTAACAAGAGTTCAACCTAGCAATTGAACTAGTGTTGAATATCCTACTACTGTCAAGTCTAGAATCCCAGGGCTTCCCCGATAGAGGCACTGCATTAACATCAGTTGATGCCTTGAGCCACCTAAGTCAGTGATCTTATATAATGCTGATAATAACTACTAACTACTAACATAATGCATTTTAAATTATGGCCCTCTTTTTATTTTACTTCTACACACTGCAGGTCACACCACACATCATTCTTCCCTTCCATCAGAATTCAGGCTCAAGTTGAACACACATCATTTGTTGAGACAGCCTTTTTTCCCACATTTGCCCTAACATTATTTCAGAATTTTCATTTTCCTGTGTTTTCCAAATTTTCTGTTTTTCCAGAAATCAGTACACCCTTGAGTTGGGCAAGGGGAATCCTATCATTATGTGTAATGCAAGGCATATCTGTCTCAGGTGCTCATTCCCACTTGAAGTAGATGAAAACACATACAGCAACCTTAATTTTATAACTACATCCCCATCGCATGCTTCAGCACAAGAGAATCGTAAGATTTTCTTAGCTATCACCAGATTTATTTGTTTTTGATGGGTTTTTTTCTTGTTGTGCAGTGCCTCACACTACCGCACTCACAGACATGTAATTACAGGGGGGCCTGGAGGCTGTGCTCACTTGAAAATTTTGAACAAGGCCACATAGTCCTATGTAATAAATTATTTTATTTAAGTAAATATCTTTAATTCATAATTCTCCTCTTTTAAAGCTGGCGATTTGGGAAGGGATTTGAACAGCTCTTGAAACCAACTGGCAACTCCGCAAATAGTTCAAAATAAAATCAACTGCATCTCACTCACCAAGATTTTCATATTTAATTGGGTCATTCAATTTATAATCAAATTCTTTTATATATTTACTAGAAAAATGTGTCTTATGGGAACAAAAATCTTTATGGGAAAGGGGTCCAGAGGGATCCAGAAACATCTCACATCAGTGTCCTTAGGTTTTCAGATAAGTTATGAATGCAACCAGGCCATCACAAATCCCAACTCTCAGTATGAAGTTTGCCTCACCCTGAGTAATTATGTGTTGAGCTCAGCTTGAGGAGCTCAGATCTAAATGTCTGATGAGCTAAATTAAGAAAAATGCATTGTATTTTAATACTTCCCATTAGTAAGATATACTACTGAATTACAATGCACAAAAATGAAGGTTTTGAATCTGGGTTGAAGTATATTTACTTTTATTTGATTTGGACACACTTTTCCCTCTCAATTACATGTTATTCCTTAGAAATAGTAAGAAACTGTTGACAACATAGAAATTCTTTTATCTTGAAATTTCAGAAATCATCTGTTATCAGATCCAAGTCATCAACAATACTAGGAAAATGATAAGATTTCTGCTTTGTCGAAACAAGCTTGGAAGAGCTATTTCTAACTAAAGAGTTTTTGAAGTCCAAAATTAGTTATTTCTGATTTAACCCATTAGTGTCCATGATCCAATAAATCGGATGCTAAGAAAAGCACCAACCATGCCTGTGTGTGGAGACTTGTTTGTTTGAGAGTTACGTCAATCAAAACAACCAGTGCTCACATTGTTGTAAAATCAGCAATTAAAAGTATGTCCTCTAACTCGAAGGATCTTTATTTAGAGATATAAGAGTGCATGATAACGTACTACAATTGCGTTGTTTCACATAGCAGCTAAATTTTTATTTCATTGTAATTT